GAGGGGGGGGTGGCGCTCACCAGGTCCTTGACGGTTTCGGAGCGGTCATCCCACTCAGGGGAGCCAAAGACGTAGCGCCCCTCCATGATCATGCGCAGCATCAGCAGCTGCTTGCGGTGCCAGAAGGGCGGCGACCCGGCCAGCAGCGTGTAGAAGATCACGCCACATGCCCACCTGCCGGGCAGACATGTCACCTGCCTGCTGGGGAGGGGAAGGAGTAGGACACCCCCCTCCTTGCCCCGACCAACATGGGGCCATCTGCCCCCCTCCCAAGCCATGATACATGGGCTCTCCCAATCCCCCCCACCAAGACAGGACACATGGGCTATCCCAATCCAATCTCATCCCCAAGCCATGACGCATGGATTTTCCCAACCCCTCCCCCCACAAAGGTGATGGGCCCTTCCAACCCCCCTCCTCCCCAGATACATGGACTCTTTCATCCCCCCAGGACAGAGAGATGGATTCTCCCAATTCCTGCACCCTCCTGGACAGATAGGCCCTCCCGAACAGACAAATAAATAGTATCTTGTATTGCCCCCCTCCACAAATGAATGGGCTCTCCTAACATCCCCGTCTCCAATAGATAGATGAGCTCTCCCAACCTCCCTCCTCCCTGGCTAGGTGGGTTCATCTATTCCCAACCGCCCCTGGGGCAGAGAAATGGACTCTCCCAACCTCCCTGCCCTCCTGGATAGATGGATTCTGGCAGCCTCCCCCTCCCAAGATAGGCAGATGGAGTCTCCCATCCCTCCTGCCCTCAGGCAGGTGAATGGTGTCTTCTATTCCCCCCACCAAACAGATGGGCTCTCCCAACACCCCCCCCATGAACAAATGGACTCCCCCAACTCCCCCTCCAATGGGTGGATGGTCTCTCCCAATTGCCCTCCCCTGACAGATGGGTTCTTTCATTGCCCCCACCCTGCAGCAGTCAGACTCGCAGTGCCCCCACCCTCCTGGACAGATGGACCCTCCCACCTCTTGGTTAGGATCTCCCAATTCCTCCCCTGCAATAGGTAAATGGCTTCTTCCATTCCCCCCCAGCAGATCAGAAGATGGGCTCCCCCCCCCACCCGAGATGAGTTCTCCCAACCCCTCCCTTGGACAAATGGGCTCTTCCAACACCCACCATGGACATACAGGTTCTCCCTGGAAAAATTGTTTCTCCCACCCCCCCATACACAAATGGTCTCTCTCACAGAGTTGCAGCACCTCCCTCCACCACCAGGTGGCTCCGCCCCCTGCCCAGGCCCCACCCCCTGCCCAAGGGGGCGGGGTCACTCACAGGTCAACCTCGTGCCCGTAGCCCAGGTGGGTCTCGTCCATGGAGCACTTGAGGATCTCAGGGGCCAGGTACCCGGGGGTCCCACACAGCTCTGGGGGGCAGGGGGGTGGGGTCAGAGCCAGCAGGAGGAGGGGCCTGAGACCTGCCACCGCCCACTGGAGCCAGCATCGCTGGGTAACTGGGCCCAGCAATGCCACAGAACTGGGACTGGTATAGCCAGGAAACTGTTTGCAGTGGGGCCAGGGAGCTGACACTCTTTTGGGGAAGAACTGGGACCAGTATGGCTGGGGAACTGGGACTAGCATGGCCACATAACTGGGACTCTTGGAAGGGGGGGAACTGGGACCAGTACAGCTGGGGAGACTGAGACCAGCACAGCCAGGTGACTGGGATCCCTGGTTAGGAGAACTGGGACCAATAGAGCCACATAACTGGGAATCCTGGGAGAGGCAACATGAGACCAGTATGGACTGGGAACTTTGGGGGGCGGGGGGGAGGGAGGGAGAGACTGGGACCCGTATGGCCAAGTCACTGGTCCCCTGGGTGTCAAATCCCTTGATCTACCCCCCCCAACATTACCACCTCTAAGCCAGGCCACCCGCCGGCGCCCCAGCCCGTGGGCTCACCCCGCAGGCGCTGCCCGGGCGGGAGGTGGCAGGAGAAGCCGAAGTCGGAGAGGCGCACGCGCAGCTCCTCGTCCAGCAGGATGTTCTCAGGCTTCAGGTCGCGGTGCACGATGCCCTGGGCGTGCAGGTAGCTCACGGCCTCCAGCAGCGCCCGCATGATGCCCCTGCGCGGGGCGGGAGGGGAGATGGGGCGGGAGCAGTGCCTGTCACAGCCACTGGGGGGCAGCCCCCTAGAACCCAGGTAGGGGAGGGACTCTCTGGCCCGTCTTCCTTCCCCCTTGGGCATCTCTAAGGTCTCTTCTTTCTTAGCCGGGACACAAAAAGGGGGCACAGGTCCACCCCTGGCCACCAGGGGGCACCAATGACCATCCCTGTAGGCCTCAAGCAGGGAAGGGACTCTCTGGCCTGTCTTCCTTCCCCCTTGGGCATCTCTATGGTCTCTTTCTTGGCTGGGCCATGAAAAGGAGTGGGTGCAGTCCCACCCCTGGACCCCGGGGGTGCCAAAGTACAGCCCAGTAGGTCTCGGGCAGGGACAGACTCTCTGGTATGTCTTCCCCTGGGCATCTCTATGGTCCCGTCTTGGCTAACCTGACCACGAGGACCCTCCTGGCCCTGGCCCTGGCCCTGCCCCAGCCCCAGCCCCAGCCGGGGGCTTTTCAGGGATCAGGGGGACACAAGCTGGGGCTATGTGGAAGTGGAGGTGGTTTGTAGGTGCCACGAGGGGATGTTCTGGTACGTCTTCCTCCAGGCATCTCTATGGCTCCCCACCCAATGACAGCGTTCAGGGCTTGCCTCACTTCCTCCTAATTGCCCAGCAAGGGGCGACTGGGAGTGCGGGGGGGCACTTACCTGGCCTCCTTTTCGCTGAGGGTCACCTTCTCGGTCAGGTAGTCGAAGAGCTCCCCTCGCCGCATCCTGGGGCAATAGAGGAGGGGGTATTAGCCGGGGGGGGGGGAATAAGACCCCCCTTCCAGAGCCAGGGGCAATTCCAACCTCCACCACCACCATAGTGTGGCCCTGTAGGCACTCTGGCCCCTCTTTGCTAGGCATCTCTATGGTCTCGCCCATCTCAAGGCTGCTGGTCTTATTCATAGATTCATAGATGTTAGGGTCAGAAGGAACCTCAATAGATCATCGAGTCCGACCCCCTGCATAGGCAGGGAAGCGTGCTGGGGCTAGATGGCACCCGCTCGA